GTTCAGTAATTAGATTCTTTCATTCACTCATTCATTCACAATTATTTTTATCCTGCCTTTCTCCTCTTTGCTTATGTCTTAACTGTTTTTGTTGGCGCAGGGGACGGTGGTCGGCTGGATGGCCAGACCTTGGGGCTGGAGAGGCTGAGCAAAGGGCCTCCTGGGAGGTCTTAAAAAGCAGACAGAAGTTGTGTGTCACCATCACACGGGTGGTGCTGGACCACCACATTCAGGATGGCCTCTTTCCGTTTTTTCTTGCCTTTGAAATAGTACGGGAAATTAATGGAAACCTGTAACACTCTACAGGCTGAGGGTCGGGGGTGGTTTGAGAGGAGTCTATCCCCCCCAGCACCATTGCCGTTTCCAGAGTGACACCACACCAGGGAAATTCCCAGAAGCTGACTCCCCTTTTCATCAAGTGACCACTCCTCCCCCAGACACAAAGCCATGGTCAGGGCTATGAAGGGCAAAGAGCAAAAGAGGGTTTCCTGCAGAGTCCAGGGGTCCCCAACCTCGGGCCTCCAGATGTTCTTGGATTGTAACTCCCAGAAGCCTCCACCACCGCCTCTGCTGGCCAGGATTTCTGGGAGCGGAAGTCCAAGAACATCCGGAGGCCCAAGGTTGGGGGGACCCACCCCCTGCTGTAGACCCTCTGGACGTCCACCTTGGATAGCGGTCAACCTTCAGCCTCCCTTTGCTCTCTCAGGCTTGGCCTCCTTTTTCCTGCTGGGGAGGCGGGCACGAGATTGTGCAGCAGTTTTTGGCTATTTCCTAGCTTTTGGAATCGTGGGCATAGAAGCAAACAATCCCCCCCCATTCATAAACCAGAGGGTATTTTTTAAAAGAATTGAATTCTCCAGATTGTCAAAAAAAAAAACCCACAAAGGCTTCTATCCTAAGGGAAAGCTTTTGGTTTTGTCCATCCAAGAAGGCTCCAGAATGATTTGTTTTTTTCTTTTCTCCCAAGGACAGGGTGAGGTTCAGCTAATGCTCTCTCCGGCTTTTCTCTGGACAAAAAGGCAAGAATCCAACTCCAAAGCCCCCCGAAAACTTGAATGGCAGGTGAGATCTCTTTCATTCTTTGAGATCAGATGTGATGCTGTGTTTGTTTGTTCATTAAATGATAATCCTATGATTAGGAGGATACGAGATGTTGTAAAGCTGACTTCAGTATTTCAGAGAATTTTAGCCCAATCGCAGGAAGCATCGGGAGCGTTTGGAGGCCGCCTTCCACCAGATCTTCCATGATGCCTGGTGAGGGCAAGAGGGGCCACCGAGATGGGCCGTGAGAGTGCAAAGGAGACTGAGTTGGTGTGAAATCCCCATATTCTGAGGTTCACTTTGAGTCTTTTCTGTCAACTTCATTCTGTCGCCCAGTTCTGGAGACCACTGGTTTGTGAAAGCAAGCACACACTGTATTCATGAAGGCTTTCACGTCCGGGATCTAATGGTTGTCTTCTGAAGATGCCAGCCACAGAGACTGGCAAAATGTCAGGAAGAACAACCTTCAGAACACGGCCAAAGAGCCGAAAAACCCCACAACAACCATTAGATCCCTGTCATGAAAGCCTTCGCGAATACAAAAATGATACCAGTATGATATAAAGCCGGTCCCCCTTATCCACGGGATCAATATCCACTGATTCACTACAAGCACACACTGTCAGTTCCCTGGCTTAGTGGGGATTTGAACCCGTGTTGCGTGAGTCCCAGTTTTACCGTCTACAGGAGTGCTTCTCTGGACATGTGCAGAGTGTTTTTGTTTTATTTATTTTATTTATACCTCGCCTATATGGTTGCTTAAGGCCACTCTAGGCGGCTAACAGCATAAAAATAGAACAATAAATATATATAAAACAATTTTACATAAAAATAGACATAATAGAATAGACAAATGAAGGGAGAAAGAGGGCATCAGGGATTGACTGGAGGGAAGGCCTGCCGAAACATCCATGTTTTAAGTTGATTTTTAAAGATACCCAGCGAGGGAGTCACATGAATCTCAGGAGGAAGGTTGTTACAGAGGCGAGGAGCCACTGCCGAGAAGGCCCGATTTCTTGTCTTTTCCCTCTGGGCCTCCCTTGGCGTTAGGCTCCTCAGCCTCACCTCCTGGCTCGCGCAGGGGACATGGGTAGATTTTGGTGGAAGTAGCCGTTCCGCCAGGTATTGAGGCCCTAAACCATTTAGGGCTTTGTACCTAAGCATCAATACTTTGAAGTCGATGAGGAAGTGAATGGGCAGCCAATGCAATGCGGCCAGAGTGGGATAAATATGCTGGTATTTTTTCACTCCGCTAAGTAGTCT